CGTAAATATACATATATTTTACCTTTTTAGGTATACTAAAAACTCACATATGTAAATTTTTATATACCAGAAATTTTCACTTCACAAAAAACGAATCCAAATATACTCCTTTGGAGTAGTAAATGGATATTTTGCACATTAAAATCATAGACAATGAAATGTTGTTCATTAACATTGGGAGTTGGGGACAATAATAAGAGTAATAATTCTCTGTCACCATTAAAGAGTAATAATTCCATGTTTTTTCCTACGCACACAAAATCGTTACGTAAGATTTTATTTATTATGGATAACAAGTACGCACCACAAATTTCCCTATACAAAATCTTTTTGTCGTGTTCTTTGACTAAAACAAGCCTTGCGTTTATCGGTTTATGTATGCTAAACATTAACCAAGAAAATATATGCGCACACTACTCTTCTTACAAGTTACATATCTTTGGACTATTGAGCACTTTTGTCTTTGATGACTAATGCAAGGCCCAAAACAGTTAGCCCATTTACAAATTGATGCTCCCATTTAAATGGACCCAATTAAAGAGCCGAGCGCGAACAATAAGAAAAGTAGTCCACACACCTTATTTTCCTTTTTTCCAATAATATGTATTATGTAAATTTGAATTTGTCGATGATACAATAATATTGATAATGCAAATGACTAAGTTACATGTTCGATTTACACGTTTTTTTAGATATAAAATTTTGTTAGACTTTGTCGTGAGGTTTTCAAACTGGTTGTGATAACGCTCATATAATAAATAGTATGCATGCATATAGTAATTTGGCATTTCTTCATGCATGTATGATTGTATAGTTGAGACCGAATATAATAAGATATGATTTCTACTATTGTTTCCCTCTCCATGTGACCTCTGACTATCTTCTTTTGTCCTTTTTTATTTCGTTTTCGTTCAATAAGATATATAAAAAAATGTACACTCGTTAATTAATTTTTTATATATTTATTAGAAATACAACAAAGGGATATTGGTATTTTTAACCATAATTTTTTTTATAATTAGCATTCTAACAAAAAACACGCATGCGACAAAATCATAACTACTCATTTTAAAGATTTTGGTTAGATTGTCAGTTATAATATTTTTATTCGTTATTACATTACTTAACCCTACAACAAACTATTTTAGTAGTTAGAAAGAAAAAGAAAAAAACAAACC